TAACTCACCACAATTCAGTTTACAATGGTTTTGACATTTGAAATTGCACCGTACAAGGTACAAATCACGAAAACAGTTAATTAAATGTATTATTTAATATGATTCCTTTAAATAGGTTTCCTATGAATAGCTTGTGTGGAAGACTAAGTTTTATATACGATCCTATTAACTATAGAGGTTTTATATAGAATTTGCTTGTTCAATTTGCCTGCAGAAGATAATTGCCAAGAAATTAAAAATTATTTTTTTTTGTAACTAAAAAGTAATGAGTTACTTTTCTATTTGAAAAGTAAAGTAATTTCATTACAATTTTATTTGAGTAACGAATAAAGTAAGTTAATTACATTTATCTCTTAGAAATGAGTAAAGTAACCTAATTACTTTTTAAGTAACTTACCCAACACTGCCTATAGGTATATAGTATGTTGTGTATAATATTGAATAAAAAAATAATGTTATTTGTTTTTATCAATACATATTAATATAAAGTAGGTATAGGTACCTATTATGTGTAGTCACTATTATAGTCTATAACTCTATAGAGTATTAGATTATATCCATAATAAAGGTAACGTGTGTGGTATACTGGCATAGCGCGGCTCAGTGGCTGAAACCAATCACAAAACGTGATTGAGAGTAAGCAACGGCCGAAGCTACTAGTTCTCGGATGGGTGACCACCCGGGTTCATAGTGGCAAAAAACTTGCTACATATACACGTGTTGCCAACCAACCGTAACCCCTACAATAACTAATGGCTATAGTTGCCGGACTCTAGACAAAAAAAAAAAGTAAAGAATAACGTGTAAGTGTAACTGTGTATCTAAGATTTTAATATTGCTATAAAATTCTAATGTCCGTATGCATAGTAAATGTATGTGTCACATACTCACATAAGACATATTATATTATTAAACTATGTCTTATGTGACACACATGTTGACCATGCAGTGGCGTACATTCAAATTTGCTCTGGGGGGGTTGGGGGGGTTAAAAAAAAATAACCAGCACTAAAACCTTCTCTTTGCAACTACCCATTTTCCTAACAATCAAACACATTATACGTATAAATATTAATAGGCAAAATAGCAATACAAATACAAAGGTTTACGTAACTCATGACAGTTAAATATTATATATGCACTACAGAATATTATAAATATTATATTATTAATTATTTATAATAAAAATTCTATTGATTGTGATATTCTAAATTCGAATGATTTTTAAAGTCTTCCAATGCATGTTTCCAACCATCATATTTTTTTAATACAAATACTCCCAATTTTTGGTTATTAACACCGGCTTCATTTTTAGTAAAAGCAACACAATATTTGCAATACGCACCATTGTTTACTTCTGAATAGGCCAACCAGGGAAAGTTAATTACCCATTTATATTGAAACTAGCTGAACCCGTGCACTTCGTTGCCAATTAAGTGTACCAACTCTAGTCTATGTGACTCAAACTTTGTTCAATTTGTTATTTAATATTTAGTGTATGGTTTCAAAATTAATCTTAACTTTTCCGTTGCCCGGAATAAAAATTCTGTTTCACTGCAGTACATTATCAGGTAGGCAATCTACCTGCGGTAGATCGCGGACCCCGTGCTGTGTGTACGTAAGTGTATGATTTAACTCTAAAGTATTAAAGTTATACCAAGTTTGTCGTATTCTATCTATGGTGGATTAATATAATCGATTATATAAAATCCTAACATAACCGTAATAATGATGAATAAGAAAAACTTAATTTTTTAAATTAGCCAATCTTCTACCCAAAGGTCTAATCTACACATAAACATTCAATTATATATTATATTATATGTATATATTGACGAAAAATAATAATACAAATCAACAAACATGCCCGATTAACCAATAGCAACCAAAATATAATACATTATTATTTTTATTTTTTTTTTGGCCATGTCAAAAGTTGTGCACTTAAGAGACCACAACCACTCAAAAAAAAAAAAAAACCATCTACATATTTTGTCGTTTTGGTCGTGGCATTTTTTAACGCCTAAATCAATACAATTGAAATTGAATAAAAATCAATCTCGTTTAATCTCAAACCAATTAATATTTATCTAGAAAATAGAATTGTTGTTGTCATGTCAACAGACGTTTTTTTCATTTTTCATACATTTTGTTGTTGTTTTTGGTCATGTCGCCAGGTGTGCACTAGTGCACTTATGAGGCCATAACTCCGGAACCATTTATCGCACAGCGTACAAACTTCACAGAAACCATCTACATATCAATCTTAATATTCCCTGAAATTTTTATCGAAATCGGTTCGGTGGATCTTGAGCTATAAGATTTATTCAAAATGTACACTTATTTTTATATATGTAGATTTCAACTTCAAAATTTTTTGTTGTTTACTGACTACTGATATTTTGATAGGAAAATTGTAATTAATATCAGGGACCCAAATTTTGCTCAAAATTTCTTCTATTTCACTTTGCGTTAACAATTTATTTGTGTAATGTGCAATGTCAAAAATATTATAACTGGAAGATGTACGATTAATATCTGTAGTCGAAGGTGTAAACTGAGTGATAAATGTATCAGATGCAGATGCAGTTGATGGTAATGAGGAACTAGAGGAAATTATAACTGTTTGAGTTGCATTCAATAAATTTGACAATGAATTCATTATTGAGGGTGGTTTTGAAAAAAAAGATTGCAGTTTCGATTGTTTTTTTTCAGCCATGATTACTATTTATTTTACCTTCAAAACCTAAAATATATCGAAATCGAATGATAATGATTATGATGTGATAATAATAATTTTTAACTTAACTACTAATTTACTAGATTTATTTTTTAATCAACGTTAAATTAACGAATTAATTTTTTTATTTGTAAGTTAATTTATTTTGTTTTTCATTTTTTTACATTTCATTATTTGAGTCTATTTTGTTGCCATGTCAAAATTTCAATAATATAGACATAATATTATGATATAGTTTGCCGACACTAAAATCTAAAAATAAACAAAAAAAAAACTTCTCCGACGGCAGAATAGAACAGAATGAACGAACATTTCATAATTAAATATTTTAAATTTTTAACATGGTCAATAATTATGATAGTGCTATAAAAATAGAATCCATTTCACCGTATTATTGTCACTCACGCGAAATTCAACGATTATAACGCAATCGGTTTTTTCTCCGTTGTCTGATCGAGTCGGTCGAGATAAAGACAATATTAATATGTATTTATATCCTCACGCAACTAACTGACTGTGTACGATCAAAATAATGTCTATTTTGATTGATATACCATATTATAAGGCACCCATAATTTCGTTATGGAATCTTTTTTCGTTGTTGGTTAAGTATAGTGTTTACTGTTTACTCAATAGTCATATTATTATGACGTATATTTGTGTATACACGGTTGATTAATAATAAGAAATTCATCAATAATATCACATTTTTTTTTGGTCCTGGGGGGGGTTTGAACCCGAACCCCCCCCCGTATGTACGCCACTGTGACCATGCATACAGACATCAAGTTTATAATACCCAAAATCTATATTGTTACAATGTTTGATATAGTGAGAAGAGATGAAAAAAGACGGAAGTTCAATAAAACAGAAAAATACATTAACAAGTTGGAAGGGGGAGTTTTACATTTTTATTGCTTAAAATAATTATCTAAATTTGTTAACATTATCACGGTAAGTTGAAACATTTATTCAATATATTCAATAATGTTATATTATTCTTTAAACATTGAAAAATGTCACCTGAATACCTGATTGCCTCTTTAAGAGTTCTACTTTGTTCTACATTAATTATATTAACGTGCCATAAACCTGCAATAATCCAATGGTATAAGTACGAATTTCAGTTGCTGGGGTTTCGGTGTACAGTAAATTTCCTAAGCTAGGAGAAGCTAACCAGTGTCGTGGGTAGATTAGTTCATAATGGGTATCCGGCAATCAGTTATCATTCAGTAAAATTAATCTTTAGGTAGGTACTTACCATACATTTTAATAAGACTTTTAAGTAAAACAGTTAACAATTTTGGCTTTTGCCATATAAATTATAAAATAAAACCATTTGTGAGAACTTTTCAAAATTTGTATTCAGTTGTTAAAGACATAATATTATAATTATTATTATTAGACTCTTAACAGTTTATACAGATTTCAAATAATTTAATATTATAAATTATTTTACTTCAGCGATGTATTATGCTTTTAACAAATTATAATTTATAGTATGTATGTAAAATAAGATACCTATCGGAGTTATGAGCCAACGACAGCAGTGTATTTAAATAGTCTATTCAAAACGCCGTCTAATCCTAATTTTGTTTATTGATATTAAGTTTGATATTAATATCTAACCTAAATAGTTATATACAATATACATAATACTATAATAACATAACTAAGCCAATCAATATATTTTAATGTTAAAATGTTTAAAAACTCTAGGGTATTTATGGAAGTGGTTAATGAGGAACTCTTACCACAAAACATGTTAATTGTAAATGTCTAAATTAAAATAGTTGATTTAATTAATCTATTATGTTGATTATTTTAAGTTACAATCATACTGTTTCAATTGATTAAACATTTTATACTTTTATAAATTGAACGAATAACACAGTAGAACCTTGATTATCCTAACTACAATTAGCTTATCTGAACGTTTGCGAGTCTTAGCTGTAGAAAACTAGAATGAAATGAAAATGGATAATTTTGTCAAAATAATATTTATAAACATATGTTCCTATGTACTTTGTGACTATATATTTCTAAATGTACACAATATAATTCTAAATTCTAATATACCTAATAATAATAAATATGTAATACTAATGCATATACATTGTTTTGTTAAACAATTTCCAGTACCTAGTATTCTAGGTGCGGTCCAATTAGTTTGGATAATTGAGGTTCTACTGTATTATGATCAATATTCAGTGACAACTTAGTTTTCAAATAAAATAAATAATACACAAAATATGCATACTTAATTTATTGATATATTTATCTTTTGGTTTTTAATGTAATACAACAGTCTCAGAACAGTACTGGGTTTAATACCAGGTATTCGACCAGCAGCTCCAATCTGAAAACAAACATTAAATTAATAAATGAACAAAATACTTAATCATGTTATTTGTTTCATACTGTTTGTGGTCGAATGTAAGATAACTTTTCAATTTCTTCCTTTGATATACTAAGAGATGTACTGTAAATAAAATAGTAATAATATAAACATTACATAGCATATGTTAATGTTGACAATGAAATACTAATATATTACTGTGTATAATCTATGTCCTTAGGTACAAGTAAAGATTGATCAACTTCTACACGTTCAATATCCTCTTGCTGATCGTAAATAGATGCTTGATACAAAGCTTCAATTTTCAGACGTTCCCCAATTCGATTATCTTCAAATTGTCCACCAAAATGTTCAGGAAGAATCATTTCTAATTGTCGTAATGTAATTCCCTCATTAGATAAACCCAATATTTCAAATGCCCTATGACATGATTACAATAGTTACAAAACATGCATGTATCCATTTTATACAAACTATACTATACTCCGTTCACTGAAAGAATGTGCTCTTACTTTGAGTATAAGACTGCGAGCAAGAAGTGGGGAGGTTGGTTTTTACGGTGGTATGCAACGCTTTTGGGTTTTGAGCAACCACATTCTTTCAGGGAACAGTGTATGTAAGTCTAAACACACGTTTTGGTCTCTGGGTTTCTAGATGTTTTTAAGCCCAATGATTTCTTCCACTTATACATGGTCTGAGACACTGATGTTAATAGTTTGATTCCTTCTTCCAAACTGGAACGTATACTTAGTGTTTGATCGTAACGTGTCTTACTGACACAACCAATGTCATAACCTATAAAATGTTATAAATTATATTACGATTATATCTTTTAACTATTCTATTGTTAGCATAGGCGGTACTAGATCCTCTTGGCAGGGGTGGCCAGAAAATATTTAAACTATCTAACTATATGTTGGGAAGGGGGGGTCGTTAATGGGTGACTTCCCCTTCACCCCAATAAAACCCCTTCCAATTTACTCATTGAATAATTTTGTAAATAAAAAGGTGGGTAACTGGATGTCGCTCTGCTGTACTGTAGGTTACAAGTGGGTCACTGTATAATGGATGGTATTAAATTTGAATGCAATGATATAATATCATTGTATTAGAAAAACGATTCTGAGCGGAGACGGTATGTCAGTCTAGGTATAAGACATAGTATATACTTTTCTATGGTATTAAAATATTAAATTATATGGAATTTATGAATAAATTCCTTAAAATATGCACAGTCTTATCATGAGCATAATTGTTATTCCTTATACTATGGTAGATTGTATGGATAGGCCATAATATTTTGATTTTTCAGTTTCATATATCCCCGAATAATATTTTTAAATTACAAAAAAAACAAAGATCGTTATAATATTGATTTTAATATGTAATTTCGTCCAAATTTGAATTTAAAATGTCTGTAAAAAATAACTGTGTTCATATATTTTTTAGATTTTTTGGTTACAGTATGAACTATTTATGAGAACCTTTGTTTTAAATTTGCAATCTTTAGCTATAAAAACTGAACATTTTATAATTTATTAATTACAATGATTGATAATTTTCGAGATTTTGTTAAAATTCGATATTTAAATGCTTATAAAAAAAAATTGTTCCAATGTATTTTTAATATTTTTCAATTGCTACTGTAACAATATATCAGGAACCTTGTATTAAATTTTTACACTTTTTGGGGCAACAGATAAAACTTTATTGATATTTATAGAAAAAAAAAACTAAAAAAATTTAACAAATTTAACAATTCGAATCTTTTCTTATCTATCGCAATGTTGTAACGTTTTGACGCACATCGCCTTATCAGGATTCGTTGATAATAAAATCACAGAATAGATTAAATAATAGAATATTTTTTAAGTGTGCGTTATCATTCACAGATATTTTGGAACAAATTTCGTATTGAAAAAAAAAATTTATATATTTTTAGAGTTAGGAAACCGAGATTTAAGGAATTATATATTAATACAGGTATGGTTCGCAGGAGGGGCAGTTGCCTACTCTGCCACCCCCGTAGTACCGCCTATGATTGTTAGATAAGAACCTTTCTGTGTCAGTCTGATATCTGCATTATCAGGTCTCAGATGCAAACGAAATTCAGCTCGACCAGTAAACATGCGGTAGGGTTCATCTGTACCTTGTGTGGTTAAATCATCAACAAGTACGCCAATATAAGCTTCGGTCCTACTTAGAGTGAGACTATTTCTGTTTAGGGACTGAAAAAATGTAAAACATTTTAAAGTTTAAACATACGCAAAAATATTTTTTTAATACTCACACTAGCACCAGCATTTATTCCAGCCAATATGCCTTGAGCAGCTGCTTCTTCATAGCCAGTTGTTCCATTTATTTGCCCAGCAAAGAACAAACGGCCAATTTTTTTGGTTTCCAATGTGGGATATAGCTCTCGTGGATCCACATAATCGTATTCAACTCCATACCCTGCAAATATCTTGTTAGTATATTTTTAAGCTAAAATAACTGCACCTTACCATACTGGACAATGTTGGCATTTTCTAGACCATTTATACTTCTTATCATTTTAACTTGCAAATCTTCAGGCAGCGTACATGATAGGCCATTTGGATAAACTACATTACTATCAAAGCCTTCTACTTCGAGCCATATCTGATGATTTCTATCGCGAAATCTAAAAATATTGTTTATGTTTGAACTAAAAATTATAATTTATACTATTAAAATATATTATATTATGAATATAATACTTGAGAGATTTAGATTCAAGTGATGGACAATATCGAGGACCCTTTACTTCTTCTTTGATATGTCGATTTACACTTAAATTATCAATTACGATTTGGTGAACTTTACTGTTTGTATACGTCAGATAACTTTTTATTTGGTCTTCAGGCTAAAAAAAAATAACAAAAACAATATATTATAATAAACAGGGTGATAACATATTTATTTACTTTCAGCCAAACTGAATTGTTCATAAATGAAAATGGTGTTGGTAAATCATCTCCAGGCTGATAGTTCAAATTAGTAAAATTAATAGATTGCTTTTCAATTCGAGGTGGTGTACCAGTTTTCATTCTTCCTGTATTAAACCCTAATCTTTTTAAAGTGTTGGCTAATCCAATAGAAGGCTTAGAATTTATTCTGCCACCTGGCTTGACGGTCATTCCACTGTACATTTCACCATTTAAAAATGTTCCAGTAGTCAATATAACACATTTAGTTCTTATTAATGTTCCATTTTCTAATAATCAAAAAATCAATATTGCATTAAAATATTATTATTCTTGTGTACAGGAAAAATAGTTGACCAAATGTTAACTAAGTGATTTAAAAGATATTTAAATTGTATTTTTGTTTTTAATAAAAATATTGTTTAATTTATATTAAGAATACACATAAGCTTATTTATTGAGGGTCCTTATTTTTTAAGATTAACTTTTTCAATGTCTTAACCCAAACCTTCAAATATATACTTGAGATATTCTTAATTTTTTTTTAAATATGCTCTTATCAAAAATATATGTATTTTTATAAATTGAATTCATATTTTTTATTTCCAATATCATAAGATAATAATTTCAAAAAAATACTATTTTTGCCACAAATTCAAACTAAAATTAAATATATATACATTGTACATATTTATATATATTTTTAAACTTTTTTTACTAATATATTCTACTATATTATTTGATGTATACTTACTGTAAAAGTATAAAATACATCAGTATAGCTACAAGATATTGCAAGAAAACATACTATAAACTAAAGAAATAAAAATAAATGAATAATTATTATTGTGGACTGTTCCTTGACAAAAAAATGTAAATATATTAAAGAAAATACCTTTTTTCATAATATTCAATAAGATAAACTTAAAGTTATGATTATAAAAACAAACTTCACTGTTTAAAATTTAAGTTAAGTATAATAAAATAAAACAAACTTTGTTAACAATGAAAGAGAATAAACGAATAATAGTCATTAAACAAACCCTCCCAATTTTTTATTTCCTTCGAATTATATATTATACTCAATATAAATGCATAATATAAATCAAGACAAAATAATAATAATAAAAAACTCTTCAAAATTTGGAAAAGTTTGTTACCTTTAACTAGTTTTATATTAGAAATATTGAATTTAGATGAAATTATGAAATATATGTGCAGAATTTACAACATAAAAAAATTTCAATGTACCTATAAGTAATTACTATTTAGTATAAGTATGAGCTTTATTTAAGGTTTTTTTTTTATTTGTTACATACAAAATTGATTTAATTTAATTTAATGATGCTGAGAGAAAAAATATGATCAACTATTTACTGAATACTCTGTATAATCTTAAAATAACATAATACATTATACTAGGTACCTAATAACACTCCTGTACATTGATTATTATTGTCAAGCAAAATGTTATCTACAGATCCTTCAATAATATTAAGATTAGGAGTATTTTCAAAAAGCTCTGCTTGCATATGCATTTTATAGAGTTTTCTGTCAACTTGTGCTCTTAGACCCCATACAGCTGGTCCTTTTCTGCGATTTAAAATCTATAATTATACTTAAAGAAAATATTCTGTATTGAATCACATTACTTTGTAGTGAATGCCTGAAAGATCACAGATTTTTGCACAAAGTCCATCTAATGCATCAATCTCTCTCATTAGATGTCCTTTGCCAATGCCACCAAATGAGGGATTACATGACATCTCTCCTGAAAACAAATCAAAATGCAGGATTTAAAAATGCTGTGGATGACAATTGTCATAATTATATTTATAAACGTACCGACTGATGATTTTTTGTGGGTCACCAATAAAGTAGACGCTCCCATTCTAGCAGCGGCAGAACATGCCTCAGTTCCGGCATGTCCACCACCAACAACAATCACATCATATTGTTTTGAGAAATGACAATAGTGTTTTATAAAACCATATTGGCGAATAGGTAATAAATGACTAATGTGTTTAAAAGACATGATAAACATTTTATATGATTCTAAACCATTCAATTACATCTTAACTATTTGAGTAATTAACAAGAATAAAAAAACTATGTTGAACCATAGAAAATTGGTCAAAGTATGAAATTTTATAATTTTTTATGTTGGCCGGTTACCGTCTTTAAAAATATTTAATATAGTAATTCAATTTTGAATTTTGAATTTTGATATTATAGTTAACAAGTATTGTTTTATAGTATCACAGATCTTGAATATAATAACTGATAACAAACTAATAATGATAAAAATATGATGGTAACAGCTGGTTGTTCTAGAGTGGGGGGGACGTATTGGTAATTGGTACTTAACGCCGGTATACGATCCAGTGTTGCCGATGATGTGGTAATTACCCCATACGGTGGTAATTTAATCCACTTGTGGTACATGGTGTGGTATAGTTAAAATGGTGGTAATTTTGTGGTATTTATGAAAATACAAAAAAATGTGGTATTATTTACTATATTTACTTTAAAACCGGCCATTAGAGAACTAAATTGCATTATATTGAAATTTTTTTTTTTTACTATTATTTTTGGTTATATAATTCACGGATGTTTTCCATAATACCACAGAATAAAATATAAATTTAATCAATTCTGTGATAACTGATAATACTAATTGATTAACATATTTTGATCGCAGACACGATTTAAGATATAAATCGTGATCGCAGATAAGCAGATTACCTAATCAATGTTTAAACCACAGATTTCTATATATTACTAGATAGCGAACTCCGGTCATGAATTGAAGCTTCAAGGTCGGTTGGCAATTGTATGGTATTTCATATGACAAATAAGATGATATTATGATTTATTTTATATCGTATTTTATTATTTTTAAACATTAAGTTTACAAAAAAAAAAAAATATTTTATATAAGTCATTTTACATTTACTATTTTATTTGACCGTTAAAAAAAATATTATTCCTAATACATTTTGTATAATAAATGAAATGTTTTGCCAACCGAGAAAATGGCGGCCGTTCACAGCTGAGCTTCACTTGTAACAATGTACATTGTATAAGAGTTCCTTATCTAGTGTAGTATAGAAGTCTGTGGTTTAAACGCGGAACGGTACAAGTTGTACAACTTACTGTTACTGTTAATAATTTCTGTAGTAGGTACGCCAGTACACAGATATCTATGCTAACTATGTACAACTAATATATCTAGTCTATAGGTAGTACCTATACAGTACCTATACAATATTATATCGTATTAAGTACATACATTTAATATGGATATCATACTATATAAGAAAGCATACCCACGTCCTAAATCATAATATTATGTGTTTATATGCTTAAAATATTAATCGGTAAAAAGGGAGTATAGTAGCGAGCACGGCTTTAGATAGAGATATTCTATCTAAACTCTAAAGCCGTGGTAGCGAGCGAAGCGAGCGCGTTATATTTCTAAATTCTAATGTGGTATTCGTAGTGGTAATATTGATATGGTAATGTGGTAATTGTGGTAATTTTGTTATCATAAAATGGTAATATGACATTTTAAATTCGGCAACACTGATACGATCGCAGATTTTCGATTTTCGGTGTAGGGTATATCGTATTATGCTCCTAGAAAAACTCGTAAGCTCGTAAAAATTATTTAATAGTTCATAGGAAAAAGTTATTATATGATAAAAATTATACGTTCCATCAAAATGCTTAAAAACTTTATACAATAGGTTCCTTATTACTTTTTTATATAGGTACCTACATAGCTACGACAAATTTAACGACAAATACTCACCAAAATATTTTAAAATAATAGACCTAGTACCTACTTAGTATAGTGTGCATAGCTGAATAAAACTAGGTTAGGTACTGTATGATTTTTAATTTGCTACTGTTTGTCTGTTCATTTTATATTTTGCTATTGCACATGGCGTCATAGCGTGTCCCGTGTGTGCTACTGTACACTATTTTTGGCCCTGCAGCTTTTAAGTTTTAACATCCATACACGATGATGAATCTGAAAAGAAACCAAAATAAATATGAATGTATGTTATAACCAGTGCTTGAATTGGAAAAAAAATAGAAGGGGTATGCAAAAGTATAAAACATTTGTGGGTCCCCCAACATTTAAATGTCTTATTAATTCTTGAAATTAGAAGGGGTACGCTAAAATATTTTAAAAATAGAAGTTGGACTCCGTCCCCCCGCGTCCCCCCCCCAATTCAACCACTGGTTATAACGGTCAATGGTCATCGGTATTTAAGTAGGTACCTACCAATTTTGTTAATTTTTAACGAATCATAAACATAATTGTGTGCTGTTATTGAGGTTGCACGTGACCATGCGTACTTTTAGAAGCAATAAAATTCATCGTTGCCAAGTCTTCCACAGTCATAATCAATGCCATACCAAGAACAAATTTTCGGGGGGGGGGGGGGGGGTTACTAATTTTAGTAAGTGATGTATAAATTAATAATAAAATATTTTTAAACGCTTTAAAGCAATTAAACATATATATTATAAGCACCCATAAACAAGGGCGTCCAACTTTGAAAATACAGGGAGGCCGGAGGGGACACTGCATATTTGCAATAATATTGACCATTCTGTTAACCTGTTAACTGCTATATGTAAGTTTACGTAGAACAATATTTTATGAGTGTATATATTTATTATATATATACAATAGTATTTATTAATTTATCATAACTATATAATTATTATTTATTTATTAAATAAATTAGACTTGGTAGTTCAATTTTTAATAAAATATAAAATATACAACATAAATAGTTCACTTTATTATTTAATTCTATAAGTGTCAATAACTTAACTTAATACAATAACTTACTATACTAGAATAAATACATAAAAAATAGTATCGATGAACATTAAAACAAAAACTGTAAATTCCATTTGTTTTTTGAAAATTCGTCCACTACACCTTGAATTAAATTTAAATCATCAATTTTCTGTCTATGTATACCTACTAAGTATACATAGACCAGATAGTCGCTGCTCCGTCATAGTAGACCTTAACCACGTTTTTACACGGCGAAGCTTACTAAATGATCTTTCGATCGTACATGTGGTCGGAGGTATGGTCATATAAATTATAATACGTTTTTTAACAGATGGAAAAAATTCACAATCCTTAAGATAGTAAGAAATATTACACTCTTCATTAATTTTAGTTGAATTTTCAGTAATATTCCAGTAATCATACCATATGTATTACCTTCTTCTATAAGATTATCAATGTTGTATAAATCCTTTATGTTTTTTAGAGTACATATGAAATCACTTTTGCTTAATTTTATTACTTCTGATGGATGTAAATTACTTATTTTAAATGGAATTCCATTGGATTGCGTGAAGCGAGATTCTAAAGAATTAATTAAAGAATCTAAATATGGTAAAAATAATGAAACTCTATAGTATTGTTCAAGTGTGGTAACGTTATGATTTGAGCGATTTGTTTGTTTGTTTGATAGTCTTGGAATTTTAATTTCAATGTCAAGATCATTGGTAGTCTTTTTAATAGTTTCAAAAATATTATTGAAATGTCTATCACATTGAGGAGTTGAAATTTGTATTTGTTTTTCACGTAGCGTGACTTTGTAATTTGTTACAAGGCGGCGTTATTCACGTGCGTGAAAACGCTACGCCGACGAGCCATTGCTTTAAGACGTGCTTTAACTTGCGTTGTACGTTCTGTTTGACAGAGCCTTTAAATTATGTGAGAATAATATCATTGATAATATATGTATAAAACTAACCAATGGCGATATAAATTATGACATTGTTTTTTCTTAGCTATAGTAAATGTTTTTAAAGCTATGCGTGGCCAATGCTATAATTTTCAAACGCAAAAAGTATCGCAGGACTGTATTCTTTGATGGCTCACAACCAAGTTCGGTTACCTGGTCCTACCCACCTCACCTAGAGATATTAATCCGGTTCCGGGACATTTGCGGTCGGGACATTTGCGGTCGGCACCTTTTACGTGCCATTTGCGGTCAATTTATTTTTATCTACCTGACTATAAGATTTGGGTGCTAAATATAATATTTTATATACTATATACTTAATTTATGTTAATATAGGTTTAATATTATAATACTTTTTTACTATAATCGATATAGTTATATACTTGTCAAATATATTATATTTAAACTTCCCTTCACACTTTTTTTAAGCATTTTTCTAAATCATTATCTAATTCATAGACTACTAATGTTTTTCTAATTCTTTCGTCTAATTGTATGTACATTTTTTTAAACGTTGGTCTCGGTGTATTTAATATTTTATTAAGTTTACTATTCCAACCCTCAACAATATTATTGGTTCTGTGTCTTCTTTTATGACAGTTCCACATTCCCCTTGAAATAATTGGATTTTCCAACCACTGTTCAATAAGATAAGTTTATCATTATCGGGTGTATTACTCATTATAATAATCCAACCTTCACCTATGTGACTAATTGGAATATGAGCTAAATCAGAATACAATGAACGCATTCTAACGTGTAATCGAATTTCTGCATTATTTTTATAGGTACTTGCTAATCCAATATTTTGAATTTTTCTCCAAAGTGCTTGATTAAAATGAAAGTTGCAACCGTGTATTTTAGCACTAGGAAATATTTATGTAATTGATTGAATAGTCGAGATTTCAAAGCATGGGCGTTCTCACCATGGGGGGGATATGGGGGATAGATCCCCCCCCAAGGTTCTTTAATTTCTTACATATCAGTAATACACGTTTTGTCTACTTTTGATATGTGTTTGTGTTTTAAATATTGACTACCTAGTTATTATTTTTATTTATTTTTTGCTTTTTTTCTTTATCGTGATTATTGATTCCCCCAGCCAAAAACAATATTTTTATTTATCACTGATTAGGATAACAATATATAAGTTATATAACCAGTGGCGTACTCACGTAAATCAACGCTGGGCATTAACGAATTAATAAGGTAAAGCTAAGTTATTTTTAACTAAGTTAATTAACGAGTTATTTTC